CTACTACAGGTGAAGGAGGTCGACGAGGTGACGCAAGCCAAGCTGGCCGTGGCTAGAGTGCGAAGTGTGAGCAGGATGAGCACAATAGCAGACAACCGAGCGGCCATGAGGACTTTCTGTGCAGACGTCCTGGCCTTGGACGCCGCAAGGGACGTCGTGGAGATTGCAGCCTTGGTGGACACATGGGAGTCGGCAAATACAAGAGTGGCAGTCCGCAACAAAGCGGAGGCGGAGGCTGGCGTGGCCAGCATACCACGTGCGCTCAACAAGGTGGAGGTGCAGGATCTATTGGTCAAGTTTCAGACCGTGCACGGTGTCAAGCTAGAGGATCGCAATACACCGGCGTCCTCCACCCTTGAGCAGATCTTCGACCAAGTGGAGCAGGGGGAGCTAAAGAACATGAGCCTGGTGCAGTTCCTCAGCAGGGAGGACGCAGAGGCAGATATCTTGGGCGCCACGGTGGAGAGAGGCACGGGAACGCTCAAGATTAAGAAGGGTTTCGGGGAATGCCAAAAGCCTCGGAATCCAGAAGAGTTCCGCAAGCGCATGGCGGTGGTGGCAAACACGTACTTGCTCGCCCAGTTGAAGTACCCACAGAAAGCAAGCTTGCGAGATCTCCAACCACAACACTTCCTCAGGTACTTGGACTTGTTGCTAGGGGATCATGTCCTTGGCTTGAAGGCCAAAGGAAAGGATGGAGAAGTGGTGGCCACGCCTGAGTTTGACTTGGTCCTCTCCTATGACTTCCAAATCAGGCGCCAGATGGTCAAGCTGGTAAATGAAGGAGCAATACTGGCAGAAGCATTGAAGGAGGCGATGACAGACACTACTATCAAGGAGCGCTACTTCCTGACACCGAATGTCTACTCACAAGTATCAAATACATCGAGCTCGGCACGTGGAGACTACCAGCGGCCCAGGAGCCCAACGTGGAGAGGCTCATGGCAGAATGACAGCCATGAGCAGCCCAAAGGCAAAAGCAAGAAGGGCAAAGGAAAGGGCAAGGGCAAGAAGGGCCGCATGAATGATCGCACACCTGATGGGCATCAAATTTGCTGGAAATGGAACAATCCCAGGGAGCGCTGCCGATTCCAGTGTGGACGACTGCATGTGTGTCAGATCTGCTTCGGCAGTCATCCCGCACATGCGTGCGATGGTTCGGGCAAGAAGGACACGGCCGGTTCAGCGGCCGACACCAACAAGTCTGCTTGAACAGAGGAGCCAATGGGGACAGCCTCAACCCCATTGGCAACCAAGGGCACTACGAGAGGCATACGACTTTGCCGGGTTCTCTACCTCTTCAGCGGGGCACAGCGGAAGGCTTCAGTGGCCACTTTCCTGCAGGAGACCGAGGCAGCGCACAGCATTCATTTTGAGCTGCGTGAGATTGATATACAGAATTCGCCGGATTGGGATCTAGCTGACAGGTCCCTCCAACAGAAGCTGCTCACCGAACTCACAAAGGGGCTCTACCATGTGGTCCTTATCACTCCGCCCTGCTCTACGTGGAGTCGAGTGCGGGGCGCCAATTGTCGGGGTCCACCACCTATACGCTCCAGGGAGCATCCCTGGGGTTTTCCCTGGCTTTCCAAGCGCCATCAGAAAGATGCAGATCTGGGCAACGTCTTGATTCGGTTCATGCTGGATGTCCTTCGTACGCTGGAGCAACATCCCCGCTCTAGCAATGGCGACCTCGTGCACATATTTGCAGAGCACCCAGAAGACTTGGGCGCCATTTGGCGCGAAGAAGGTGGAATGAAGATGGTTCCAGCCTCAATCTGGCAACTGCCCGAGCTCCAGCAGTTCGTGCGGGCAGGAAATCCACTGGGACTGTTCACAGTCGTCTTCAATCAGTGCTGCTGGTCCGCCCCATATCGAAAACCTACCAGGCTGCTTAGCAACTTGCCAGCTTTGCAGCAATGGGGCCCATGCACTTGGGCCACGTTCGATCAGGAAGGTCGCTATTTGGGACCAGCAGTTGCGCTTTGTCGCTGCAAACCAGAGGTCAGTCTCGCCCGTACTGCTGATGATGAGTCCTTTCGCGCAACAGCCACATCAATCTACCCAGAACCTATGGATTGGGCTATTGCTCAAGCTATTCTGCAGGCCCTTTGTCACCCTCCCTCTTCGCCTAAAGAGGGGGTTGCAGCGAAGAGAGAAGGAGTCCAACTTTCTGACCGGGCTGGCAAGAAGAGTCGGAAGGATTGCAGTGCATCATTGAGCAATGCAACATTGAGCAGTGCAGTATTGGGGGCTGAGCCGGCTGGCAGAGTACCAGTGGACAACAATGCAACATTGAACAGTGAGGTCGATACAACATTGAGCAACAATGCAACATTGAGCAATGAGGCCGATGCAACATTGAGCAGTGGAGTCAGGGCGTCGTCGAGCAACAAAGCAACATTGAGCAGTCGTCGGTCGGGGGGCTGTCGTGAAGCTGAGGGCTTGAGCTCGACTGGCGCCGATCGTGGCAGGTCGGGTGTGGGCCCCCCTATGCAGGTCAAATACAAGGGAGAACTCAGATCCATCCATGATGGGGCTGGCTTGTGTTCGCCGGGAAGATGGCCGGTGGACAGGAGGACTGCACCTCGTACGGAGGAAGGCAGAGAGCTGGCTAGGTGGTGCTTCAAGGCCTTCGAGGACTGGGTAGAGCTGGAGGGCGAAGAGAAAGCCAAGCGGCTGTTTTGGCAGACTGCAGCTGGCAAGACGGGGGGCTCTCCCTTCGGCGGCGAGATCTATGGCTTCAGGGAGAGGCTTGACCTGTGGCTACGTGAGAGAGGAGAACGCCCGGACAGGAGGCCCAGTGATAGAGACACGGAGATCAACTTCAGGAGATTGAGGGCGGTGGCCCGTGTGCTTGAGGACGAGGATGCCGAGTTCTTGGAGGAGGTGGCCGCGAAAGGTGTGCCTTTGGGAGTGGATGAAGACATGCCACGAAACCCGAAGGTGTATGAGGAGAAGGTCAAGTGGACGGTTGAGCAGACCGAGGACGACTTCCAGGATACGCTGGCGGACAACTATGAGTCGGCGGAGGAAAACTCTGTCGACATAGCACGGCAAGTGCGCGAGGAGGTTGAGAATGGCACCATACTGCGCTTGTCCGAAGAGGAGGCCCGGCGGAGGTTCAAGGGACGGCTTGCAGTGGCTGCTCTTGGGGCGGTGCCGAAGGAGCTGGGCACGACTCGGGTTCGCTTGATCCACGACGGCACCTACAGCGTGGACGTGAATCGCAGGATTCGGGTCCGTGACCGGATGCGCTTCCCGCTGATAGATGATGCTGCAGCAATCCTGCGACAGGTCGAGTCGGAGAAGAAGGAGAAGCGAGAGGTGGTCAGGTTCTCCGTGTTGTATGACATCGCTCGAGCTCACAAGCTGGTGCCGGCGCGAGAGGAGGACTGGGGCTTCCAGGCCTTCAGGCTCCCTGGTGAGACCTCGGGGGACGTCTACGTCCACACCCGGGGAACTTTTGGCGTGGCCAGTGCAGCGTATTGGTTTGGCCGCGTGATTGGTGTGGTGGTGCGCTGCTCCCATAGGCTCATGGGGAGACACATGGGGCTGCTACACTTGATCTATGCGGACGACGGTTGGCTGACCGCGACGGGCACGCGCTTCTGGAGGAAGATACTCATGTGGCTCTTCATTTATGAGCTGCTTGAGATACCCATCACGTGGAAGAAGGTCCGTGGTGGAGCAGAGGTGGACTGGATAGGGTACCATCTCGACGTGAGCAACTTCACTCGAGGCATCAATGAATCCAAGAGAGCCTGGATTACGAAGTGGATCGACGGCAAGCTGGAGCAGGGAGGTGTTTTGGGCAGAGAGCTCAAGTCAGTGCTGGGCAGGCTGTCGTTTGTCGCGGGAGCATTGCGGCATGTGAGGCCCTTCTTGGCTCCTCTTTTCTCTTGGTCTTCATCGCTTGCGGGAGGCACCTTTGCAAAGTTTCCAGACGCAGTGGTTATTTTGCTGGAATTTGTCCGGGAGGAGGTCGTGAGAAAGCCGGTGAGAGGGCTGGAGCCGCTAGCGAGCAGCCCGTCCGACATCTTTCGAGTGGACGCTAAAGCTGCAGGTGAGGAGATCGTCATCGGTGGCTGGGAAACCTGGGGCGGAGTTCCTCAATGCCAGGCACGATGGTTCTCCTTCAAGCTGAACCGCAGAAATGCGGCGTGGGCTTACCTGAAGGGCGACCCCTTTCGGTCCATCGCCACGCTGGAACTCATCGGGGTGTTGGCGGCCGTCATGGTGCTATCGCCCGACGCGAAGTGGGCCGAGGGCGACTCGACGGTGACCTTGACTGCGCTTACAGACAACCTGGGCAACGCCCACGTGCTAAAGAAGTTTGGCAGCAGCCGCTACCCTCTCAGCATAGTCGCTATGGAACTGGCGACGCAGCTGGATCGCAGAGGCATCGAACTGGATTTGCAGTGGGTACCGCGTTGGCAAAACCAAGAAGCCGACGACCTCACAAACCAGAGGTTTGATGACTTCAACGAAGCGCACCGGATAGACGTGCAATTCGAACGGCTGGATTTCCTGGTCATGGGCAAGCTTCTGGAGAAGGCTGGAAAGCTTGATGCGGAGCTTCGTTTGCACAAGACCTCGAAGGAGGCAAAGCATGCCATGGTGAAGGACGAGGCCGTGAAGTCCAAGGCGAAGAAAGGAGAGCTTCGTTGGAAGGACCCTTGGTGAAGAAGGCGGGGGGGCGTACGTCGTGGTTGTCGACTTCCCCTCACGAAGTAGGTTAGTTTAGAGTGAGGTTGCGCGGACCTCACTGTAATACTAAAGTGGGGGGAAAGTACAGCGAGATCACGGTCCTGCACTCTAAGTCGGTAA